AAGAAAAGTCGGTGGCGACTCTTGCTAACCGCAACATTTGCAATCAAACACAAAACCTATAATTCAGTTCTCCCACCATATCACAGTAATCTCCTTCATTAAGCCATTTCACTTTCGATTTTTGAACAAGCATATTCTCTTTAATCCTCAAGTTTAACCAAAAAATACTAGACGCTTCCTTCTAATTTTTCATTATGTCAGAGTAGTTTTCAACAACTTCTTCTTCTAAACAATCATCCCCAAAGTTAATAGCTCTCACTTTTTCTTTCACCTCCAAATCTATTTTACTAAACACCGTCTTATTCCACCATCTCAATCTTTCTTTTAAAAGTCTAAGTTTCTCTTTCAAGATAAAATCACCTCTACCCTCCACCTTGATCTCATCTCACTCCTTATCCATAAAATGAAGAAACGAGTTGAAAGAGAACCAATCATTATTGAACTTGAAAGGTTTAGGACCCCAATTGTCTTCATAAAAAACGAGCCACGCGGGACAATGATTCGAGTTGTCTCTAGGTCTTATCAATTGGCCTACAACTCTCCATCTATTCACAATAGTATCCGACAAGAGAAACATATCAATAAGACTCATAGAGTTCCCGTCTCCATTATACCAAGAAAATTTATTTCCTTTATAAGGAATATCCACCAAAATGCTTTGAGAAATAAAGTCCGCAAAAAGTTGAGATTCTACATTATTAACAAATAAAGTCCTCCATTTTATCTCCCTTTGATGTTTAATAGCATTTATGTCAACTCATATTATCCACTCCCCCATCCTTGTTAGCCTCCTTTAAGTCCAACAACTTTCTCCATAATTCTTTCTTTTTATTAAGGAAACAAGACGAGTACACAGTAACCACAAAGTAGTAATGATCCTTCCATAGAACTTTTATACCCAAGAAACCTTCTCCTCTAAAACTTTGAATAACCTCCACCTCCCATTCCTTCCACATTATAATTAAACCCCAAAACATCCCAATAGAATTAGAAAATGAGCATCCCATCTTCGTATTGCTCCACATACTTTTAGCACAAACTTCATGCAAACTTGTTAACTTAGTCTCTTAAATCAAAAACATATACGCTCCACCTTTTTTAATCATCGCACTAATCCTCCTTCTTTTAAGAGAACTACCACCCCCCTTATATTCAATGTTCCAATAATAATTTAGAACCATTTTTAAACTCCTTCATACAAACTTTCCTCTCCAAAACAGCCTTCTCTATCTCCGATATTTTTAAAACCATTTTCTTCTTTCCATCCGCCCCCTCACTCCCAACGCCCCTATAGCTCCCCATAGCTTACCACCATTATACCCCCTCCAGGTAACCCCACTAATTGTGATTATTTATAAGGATATCTTCATTCTCAAACTAGTTCCTGTAGTGCAGCTGATCCGGTCTAAACACAAAACCATCCGAAACTGGAACTGAACTCAGTGCAACTTTTACCGTCTTTGTAATATTAGGTGTCGAGGCTGCTAATTTTCTACTACCTCTGTTACTACCTGCAGCATTATCGACACCCTTCTTTTTAACCTTCTTCAACTCTCTAAAAGCAGGCTTCTTGTTGAATATTCCCCCTACTTCTATCAAATTTCTAAACTTAACTTTCTTCCTACGCGCCACTTTTTGAGAAGCCAACGAACATCTCACCACTTCAGAATCATCCCCCATAAAAATAGAACCGCTACCAAACCTGGGACCTTCTGTCTGATTTGTGAGGAACCACCTTTGGACTTTCGAACGACTCTATCAAATGAAACCAAAGGAATTTCCTTCTTAGTTTCTATACGAATTCCAAAAAGAAGAGAATCAAACGCATCAGGTTCCCTTCTTGGTGAACTTTTGATGCCCTTAGGAGGTGAAATTATTACAGGGACGTCAAGATCCCCATGTACAAAAAATTCTTCAATACTGTCTACCGATTCCTCGCCACCATTGAAACTTTTCCCACAAAATGATTCATTCGACCAAACTTCATCTGAATTCAGAGACTTAGAAGAAGTTGAATAAGTAATTTGAGATTGTGAAATACCTGAGTGACTATGCTGTTGTGGAAAGACTTCTTCAATGAAAGTGAGAACAAAAACCATCCCATCAAATCGAACCAAGATTGAATCCTGCAATTTGAAGCTGGACGAAACCAACATAGTGATTCTAGCCATGTCATAATCGAAACCATTAGTTGTATTATCATCCACGCACACAAACTTGCCCGTTGAATTCGCTAATTCCACAAAGAAATCTCTGTTCCAGACGAAGCAAGGGACACCAAAAACTATCACCCTAACAATCCTCTCTACATCCACCTCATTCACCGCCCATCTTCTCACTTATGAAAACCACAATTTCCATTTTGAATCTTCCTCCCCAACCAATTCCTCCAACACACCCTTCTTTGTTTCTTCAAGCAAGACACAATTCGACCTCAACTTTGAAGTCCTAATAGAGAAAAACCCCCCATTCTCGATTAAGGATTGAATCACAACAGTAGTGCCCGGAACCTTCACCACTCCCACCCAAGCTTTAGAAAATCTCAATTTGTCTTCCTCTCGCGATTGAAACCTCATTTCCTTCTTCTGGCCACTGACTTCTTTACCATGAAAATTCACCAGCGTCTCTGCATATGTTTTATGGCCCCGACCAAACTATGACTCACCTCCCGCACGAAACAGACCCCCTCGACGATGAACGAAATTCTGAACCCCCATCGCCCTAGGATGCTTCGAAGAATTCCCCAAAATCGTTCCCACCTTTCTCTCAAGTCTTGACAAATTCGCGTAAATCTTCTTACCATCGATTATAACATTGTCTAGTTTCACCGCCAAGATTTTCGCATCCGCCACATCTCTGAATCTCGCAAAGCCAAACGTCTTCCCCGCCTTGTTCCTTCTGGGTGCAATTGACACTTCCACAACATTCCCAAAAGGACCGAAAAGTTCATGGAATCCCCTCGCTTTACACCTATCTGGAAACTCCGAAAATTAAACTGAAACCACCTGAACGCCTTCTCTAACCTTTGCTCGACCTCCTACCAGATAAGAGTCCCAGAGAGGGACCTAATGTTGGAATTTCCTTCTCTTCGCTTCCCTCCATCCGTCTTCCCAAAAACCAGCTCCGATTTACATCTATTAGAGTCAACCCTAACCCCCTTCTAGAGAGAAGGAGGAGCAAACTGAACTAAGAGATTTTACAAATAATACGATAATTATTTATGTAAAAAAAACAGACTTAGGATTGCCTTTTATTGTGTACCAATCTTCTTTATCAATTTATTAACATCATTTTAAAAAAATTACATCAAATAAGTATATAAGAAGTTAATTTTATAATATATCACTAATGTGTAGTATTTTGATTCGGTTAAAAAGTTTTATATAGTAAGTACATACAAATTATATATGATAAACTAATTTAAGAATAATTAAAAGAAATGTACTTCTAAAAAAATTAACTAAAAATATTTAAAAATATATAACTGATAAAAATATTTAACCAAAGTAAAATATGTATCATAAAAATAATTATTTGAATTTTCAAACAAATATTTAAAATTAATAAATATATAATTATAATTTTTATTGAGTTTAGAAATATATGTGATTTATCTATTTGAGACAACAAAATATAAAAACATATCCTTTTTATCAATAAAAATTAGGTTTAAATGCATTATTGTTCTTCTTACTTTAATTTATATATATATATATATATATATATATATATATATATATATATATATATATATATATATATATATATATATATATATATATATATATATATATATATATATATATATATATATATATATATATATATATATATATATATATATATATATATATATATATATATATATATTTGATCCTTCTTTTTAAAGATTAGTATTTTGATCTCCGATTTTAAATTTTTTTTTCATGTTTTGATCTCTTATCTTAATTTAAGATTCAATTTAATGATATAAAAGTGTTTAGATGGATAAATTTTAGATTCTGAGGTGGATATAAACTTACTCGTGTAAGCATGATCACAACAAGACTTATACTCAAAAGTAAATTAAAATTAAAGGACTAAAAAATATAATTTTTAAAATAAATGAATTAAAACTTTATTTGAAACTAAAAAGATTAAAATTATATTTAAATATTATTTTTGTTAAATTATTATTCAATGTATTAATATTTTAATGAATATTCACTTAAAATTGCACTACTTTTAAAAACTAAATATCAATATTACATATAGACAGCAGCAAAAGACAGTGGTCCTCTTTAGTGATATCCACCTGAGGAAAAAATAGATATTATGAAAATATATTGATAGAGTTTTGCTATTAGAACTTATGACTTAAAAATTTATTTTATAAGAGATAATGCTACCAATTCAAGAAGTCAATGTTATCTTAAATTAAATTGAATGATTCACTTTTTTTTTCTTATACATTTTACTCATCAGTTATTCCATGTGAACATTTTTTATGCAACATTCTATCTAATTGAAAACAAATTAGGAATTATCAAAATAAATAAATAAAAAAGTAAATTAGGAAATTAAATCAAGATTAAATATCAATCAAAAAATAAAGTATATTACATATAAAAATACAGTATAGTGTTCCATGAATCATCAGAACACCTATCCAATGTAGCATAATAATATTCATTATATAACTTCATTCCTTTTCACACTCCCTTCACAAACAACCTCACTCTTCACACCAACAAACTTGACATATATGATATAATTAAACAAATGCATAATTACGACAACCTATAACAAAAATAGACACCAAATAAAAATAAAATATAAAAATAAAAATACTTGTCTTTGTTTTTTTAGTGGTAGGACCAATCCACTCTCGGCCCTCTCTATCTCAGAAATCCCAAACTCGTTTCAAATCTTTGTCTTAATTAACCCAAATTATAAACACACCACTTAATTAATCAACCATTTAGCATATAACACACCATTCATTAATCTTTAATCATGAATTAACCCCACCATTGATGCACTGCAACACCTTCATCTCTTAATTTACCATACAAAGCCAAGCACTCCCAGTAAGCTCTTCTATTTTTATTCTCATTTTTCAAACCATGTGGCTTGCACTCCAAGAAAAGCTCATCAACTAAACCAATAGAGTTACTTCTCATAATCTCTTCCACAACTTCAGCCTCCGCTTTCATCACAACATACTCTTCCTCTTTCACATTCTTATTCAACCAATCTGACACCGATACTACCTTCTCCGACGACGAGGACTTCTTCTCCGGCACGACAGTTGTCTCTATCTTGATCATCTCGAAATGCTTATTCCTCGTCGGGTAATTCTTCAAAAACCAATCAGTTCCACTTCCTCCGTTTTTCTCAGGTAATCCTACGTCAATGAAGACACGACGAGAGTAGCTTTCGAGCGAATCTCCCATTAAATTAGGTAAATATTTTGTTCTCTTCAAATACTTTCGTGATTTTCCTGATGCAGCTCGTGGTGGCTCTAACAGAACGTCTTCGAGATTCTGTAATGCAATTTTCTTTGCTTCTGCGTAACCAAAGAGTTTCCTCGGCACGGCGAGGTTAAGTTTGTTATTAACAGAGGTAATGACATTGGTGGTCGTTTTCTTCATTGCCACCGCGACAGAATCAAACTGTCTCATGTAAACAATTCTGTAATTCTTTGGCTTATAAAATGATGCAGGCTTATTGTCGTTCATTAGAACCGTTACAACACCTTCAGGTTTCAGAACCCTCTCGATGAATCTAGAAGCTTCAGGAAAGTTAGTTGTGAAAATAAAATCAATAGCATTATCAACCACAGAGTTCTGTTTCTCAATGTCATTCAATTTCACAAATTCCATCTCGTTGTTGAAACTGGTTAAGCCTTTCAATGGCTCGTCATTTGAGAGGAAAACCGCTTTGTGTTGTGTTTTGGTAAGAAGGCCTTCGTTTGTTAAGTCATGAAATAGAATTGACAGTACTTGCTCTGTGTCGATTGGGTTCGCGGTGAAATCGACATTTGAATCTGAGGAAGTGATTCTCTTGGAATTGAGTATGAATTGGAATGAAGCTAAAGCTAAAACTAAAAGCAGTATGGTTTTGAACATTTTAATGAATTCTGAACTTGGAAGCCTGATGATTAGATAACGGGCTGCTAGCGGCTTATTGATTTTTTTGTTGCAACATCCATTTTCTAAGGCAGCATCAATAAGATCTATAGACATTATGATAAAGTATAATTAATGGTGATATTGAAATTTTATAGAGATTTAGGTGAAGTTTTTATGTGAGTTTTTGGTAGAGATTAGATTAGAGAAGAAAAAAAGAGGGAATTGTAGAGGGTAGAGAGAGAGAAAAGAGAGTAAGCGTAGAAAAGGAATTTAGCGAGTGCAAAATCTGGCTGCGGTATGGTTTCCACCCACAAGAGCGACGCGGTTAATTTGCAGACTAGACCATAGAAACATCAATTCCTTCATACGTTGAACCTCCATTTTTGAAAATGTGACCCAGTTCGATGATGTTTTTTTAATACATAAAAGGTGTGTGTATGCTTTTATGAGACCATATCCCCCTCCGTGTTAGTGGCACGGTTGGGATATAGAGCGTCGGAAAGCTCGATCTCACCCCTTTTAGGATTGTGGTTTTTGTTTTGGTTTGGAGGTTTGCGAGGGATTGGTGTGAATTTTGGTGGAATGAAATATCGTATAAGAATGTCAAAGGTTATATGGAAGTGGGTTACAATGGAGGATGAATTTGTTTTTTTTTGGACTAAATCGGTTGGCTTCACGAAATTTGAGTTACACCAATGATATTTTTACTAGCTTTATATTTCTTGTTAAAATTGTATCTTTTTTTGCATTGGCACGACCAAAATACACGTTGGACATGTAATTTAGATTGGCATTGCTTTGGTTGTTAGTGAGAACAAATCCTATAAATGGATGAATGGATAGTGAGGATGGTACTCTATCACCTATATCCTCGTTTTATAATCAACGTTTTACTTTTAACAGACTGTTTGTTTATGCTCGTTTTGCGCGTAAAATAACACATAACTAATTTAAGATTAATTTTTTTTCAGTTTCGATGAAATATGTTTTATATACAGGTTTTTTTACCAGGAAAACTTTTCAAATGTGATAGTCCATTTGAACCTTCTCATAGTAATTAGTTTTTTTTTTTAATTTAAAAAAGAGAAAAAAGAGTATAAAGAGTATAAAATATTCTTATAATATCAACCAATCACAAATATGTATTTCATTAAGTCACACTTTTATTATTAGAATCCTGATATGATATGACTGAATGTTATAATTTAATCTCTTTAAAAAACATATTCTTTTTCAACTACATTATATATATATATATATATATATATATATATATATATATATATATATATATATATATATATATATATATATATATATATATATATTCCTGATAAACACTTTTGCTTACTATATTTTTCGAAGTTATTTATTTACTTCTATGCTT